AAAATGTAAACATGGGTCGTAATAAATCGCAAAACGACTTTCTCTGGTGAGGCGGGCTGCTACAACACCACATGTTCATAAAAAATGCATTTCCTCCTGGAAACACACACAAGACCAACATGTTGCTTCATTTAGTTTTCATTGTAAAATTCTTCTTTAAGCGACTCCGCTCTTGCTGCAGGGTCAGAATTAACAAGCTGTACATGGCGAGCAGTTTTTCTTTATTTGGCAGTGGCAACTTTGTCTTTGTTTATGTCTCATGTATGTTTGTTTTAACCCTATTGCAAATCAAATTTCCCAGGTGGGACAATAAAGACTGAACTGAACAACTGGTAAAACAGTAAATAATAAATATTACTTATATTGCATAGTTACCAAAGTGACATTACAAGCTCTAAATTTTTTTTTTTTTATTTTTTTGCATTTTCTCATGATATTGCACAAAGACTTCAAAAAAAATCTGTTGTTTCTGAAATATAAGAAAAAGTGTGTCAAACTGCAGAAAATCCATATTCCAAATCATGCTACAATAAAAGTACTTTATATGTAAAAGTGATCAATTGAATATAAAAGGACAAAAACTAAATTGCCTTTCATGGAAAACATTCTGCAATGGTTGCACCACATGATATTTGGTAATCTAATCTAGTCAAAAGCACAGAATAGGCCACCTAAACAAAACAAGCAGGTTTCCTACAAAAGGATTCCATAAAATTTATAATCAAAAAAATATTGGTAGAAATAACTTTATATTAATTGTTTTTCTTAGGTCATACCACATGATATCCAAAAGTGGCAACTACATACCAGCTGTTACATTTTAAATTTTTCCAAATTTCAGAGCACGTTACAAACCTACTTGCAGTTTTAATGGGTCCTTGGCAAATTGGTATATTTTTCAACTTCCTGTCTTCTAATGGATTTCAACATAAAAGTCCCAAAATGGTTGTTTGTTGATGGCCACACCACGTTATTTCATAAAATCCACATCATCGGAGTTTGCTTGTGTATTATTATGGAAATATAAATACAGATGCTTTGCGATTTTGTAGAGGACTACAAAACACTTTGGAAATCATGCCAAATAGGGCAAAACCCATTTAAAGTAATTTCAAAGAAGTTTTCAAAACAGCAGTCAAGGCCAGACAGTCATGACATTGTGATACTTCAATAATCAGAAAAATTACAAAAACTTTTTGAAAAACTGTTTTTTTAAGTTAAAGTCAGTACATCTATGGGAGAGGTCCTCTATTTATATGGTGTGTTTTTATGCTTTCAACCTTTTTTTTTTTTTTTTTTTAAATGAAAAAAAGGACAGAAAATGTAGGCGTCACGTCATCTTGAAAATTATTTGATTGACACAGCATTTTCACTACGTGGTCACACTTCATGTACTGATGGAAAACATAATTGGCGGGTGTTGTCTAGCGCCACCTAGGGAAAACAGGAAGTGATGTTTAACTCCTTTGTGACTGGTCCAAAACAAGCATAATTCAGGGATGCATCTCACGACCTCAGTGAGAGCAGTGACCAAGCTTCTGCTTGAATGTAAATGCTCCGTATTTGTATAGCGCCTTTCTAGTCTTTTCGACCACTCAAAGCGCTTTTACACTACAACTGCATTCACCATTCGCTCACTAAGTGCTCAAACAGAAACTATCACACACTGGCGGAAAAGCTGCCAGGGGCAAATCGGGGTTCAGTCCAAGGACACTTCAACATGCAGCCTGGAGGAGCTGGGGATTGAACCGCCGACCTTCCAATTAACGGGCAACCCGCTCTACCCCCTGAGCGCAGCCACCCCAATGAGGGATTGTCGTTTTTTTAATGTTAAAAACAAAGTTAGGCTTTGCTGTCTGCGAACCTGACTCCTAAAACAGACAAGAGAACAAGAGCAAAAGAACGTGTGACAAAAAGCTCAGAGAATATGTAGACCACTTGAGGAAAGTGTACATAGGCTTCAGGTTGGTTTTACAAAAATCATTGGAAATGCACTCATCCAAGGAGCTTTCCAATACAATTCAACATTACACTTTATCACACTTTGTCTGAGCAAGCACACAGAGGCTTTGATGTTCAACAGGAAAAATAAGGTTTAATTTTCTTTAGTTTGTAGTACCTCAGGGTGTATACTGTCTCTGAAATTGACGTCACTATCCAGACTTTCTCGTAGCCCTCCGCTGAACATGGCCTCAAAATAACAACTGCACGCTGCTAAGACAGCCCTGCAAGACACAAACACAGCATTTTGTCAGTGATCAAAAATGGCAGGTCTTATAAAGAGAATATAAAACATCTCTAGAAAAGTTTGTTGCTGTTACTCTCTGTTGTAGTAGTGGGATGGCTGTGTCTGATGAAAGTTAGCAGTGAAATGCACAAATGTTGTCAGCATGTGTTTACCTGTGGCATGGGAAGGACCGATCTCCGGCCCATAGAGTGACATCAGTGAACATGCACTGTTTCCTCATTGTGTTCAGGTGGGTCAGGACACTATCGGGATGTGAAGGCTTGTGGAAGAGTGAGATGTTCATGGAGCCCGTGCTGGTGCGGGATTTACGATTCTCATGAACAGTCACTGACATGGCGGGTTCTTTGGCACCTCCAGGGAGTCACTTGGAAGAATCTCTCCTACTGTTCAATGACAAAAAAAGGAAAAACATGCTGCAGGATCAGTAACAATTATACTGTATGTATGGATACATTTCAAATGTGGTCAACAAGAACACCATATTGACTTGCATAATTAAACCTGGAAATATAAGGGCGTAATGTCACCATGACACAACTATATAAAAAAAAGGAGCTCTCAGATGAAAGACTATGCTGTACCCCTCTGTGAGAGACACCCTAAAATCTAAAAATCAAGGGTGAGACAGATTAGGCTTTGGCAGTATCACGGTATTACGTTACACCAGCAAGTCTATACGGAAATTCAATCTCAAGCTGTGTGGGAGACCCGGGTCGATTCCCATTGGGACATCCACCAATGGTGTCCCTGAGCAATACACTTAACCCCTAGTAGCTCCAGAGGCGTGCAACCTCTGACATAGAGGCTTTAGCAATTGTAAGTCTCTTTGTAAGAATCAGTAATTATTATTATTATTTTAAGTTAGGGTGCAAAGTCCAGAATAAACAATATGTTGAAACTAGTGACACCCATAATGATAGCATACACTAGCAAACTTAAATTAGTAGTTGTTAATTAGAAAGTTTTTCAACCCTATACATTTGCTTGCCCACACTAGGGCCTATAATGTTCTATAATGTCAAGTTTAATTAACAGGTAAGTTACCTGCTTACCTTGTGACAAGATATAATGCTATGTTGTTGTTAGTTTGTGAACTGTTTCAGAAATTTGACTGTAGACCAAGAAAAATAATTACACAAAGAAATCCTCATCCTGCACAAAATATACAAAACACATTTGTACTCAATATCATGATAAAGCACTATGACAGTTGTATTCCTCCTTTTACTGTAAAACAAACCTCTTTAAATGTGCATGAGGCACCTTTTCACCTCAATGAGAAAACCTTTCAGAAAACAGTCGTAATAATAACTAACGTCATCATTTAATAAGAAATCATATTGCTTTAAAAGCCTATTGCTCTGCTTGTGTGGTAGTACGCCCTCCAGAGCGTCTGACAGACACAGAACCCAGTTTGGGACTGTTTGGTGGAAACCAAAACCAACTGAAACCAATCAGGCAGAAATCTCAACTCAAATCCACACAGGTTAACTTCAGCTCCTCTGATAAAGTGCAGCTCACAGTCACAAAGTGCAGTTGTCCGTACTTGTATAGCGCCTTTCTAGTCTGTTCGACCACTCAAAGCGCTTTTACACTCCATCTGCATTCACCATTCACACACATTCACCTAACAGCTCAAACAGAAACTAACATTCACACAGCCACCAGAGGTAATTCTGGGTTCAGTATCTTGCCCAAGGACACTTCGCGGATTGAACCGCCGATCTTCCGATTAAAGGACAACCCGCTCAGCCTCCTGAGCCACAGCTGCCACAACCCCTACTGCTGCTGTGTCAATTGTGTGATGAGTCCCATGCTCAACGCCACAGAGTTGGCAGTTTATTAAGGGCCGAGCATGAAACATGCGAGAAGTAGGGGTGTGGAGAATATTTGATTTTTAGATGCATCGCGATGTGAACGATTATGAATTGATTAACAAATAATAATAATCGATTATCTAGAGGTTAATTGATAACATAATGTTGATGGAACGAAAAAGGTGGAACTCGGAAATGTGGAAGTGCAGCTTCTGACTGTCTGCTGGGCACACAACGAAGACGTCTGGTTCTCCCTGTTCACAGAGGAGCAGAGGAAAACATGAACGCTACGTGTCAGTGTGGCAGTAAATGTGCAGTGTAGGTCACAGTGTGTCCGTTTATTAAAGTCTGTCTGTTGTTTTCCAACTACTGGAAAAGTGAAGGCAGATAGCACTAGTTAACATCTCCTCTTCAGACTGCGGCCTGGAAGCTGAGCAGGACGTTTTTTGGCAGCTAGTTTGTTGTCATTCATCCACATATCGAGTACACAAATGAACGAAAAGACAATAATCAACTTACAGGACACAAACATGTAACTACACTAGACAAGACAAAAAAAAAAAGGAACAGATATATTAAGGTGGAGTGAACGTGGTTTGGCTGGAGCATTGTAAAGTGCTTAGTTCAACCTGTATCTAACTTTGTACTAATAACAGCAACATCAGAAATAAAACAAATAGCAGCAGCAGAGGTCAGTAATAACACTGTAATAATGTATTGCTGCTATGCAATGGTAGCTACATTTATATGAAGTAACATTAATATCTGCATTTCATTACTACCTACTTGTTTAGATTGTACTCACACAGTGAGAAAAAGACACCTTTATCATATTTGTTTTACAATCACATCGTAGCACTCATAATCTTAATGAGGTACCGACAAATTCCTTGAGGTGATGCATCGAGATATCAAATCGAAGACCTGATAATCATAATCGATTCGAAAGAGCAGTAAAGATGCACACCTCTAGCGAGAAATTAATGTAAAAAAAAAAAATTATTTCACACATTGAATTGCATTTTTGATGGCCTAAAGGTTCACGAAAAGTCAAAAAATTGCGCACAAAATTCAAACATGAAAATTTACGTTTCATATGGTTTTCTTCCCACGACCCTGTACGAAGGGTAAGCGGTTGATGATGGATGGTTTTTCGTGCACTGTGGCAAAATGGCTCCATGCCATAAAAAGTAACTCTCGAGCAACGTTCCACCTAACTAACTATTTTTGTGCCAGATATATCACGGCCAGGGCGGCGCGCTGATGCAGTGGTTAGCACTGTCGCCTCTCAGCAAGAAGGTTCAAACCCCGGTTGCCCCGGCCTTTCTGTGTGGAGTTTGCATGTTCTCCCCGTGTCTGCGTGGGTTCTCTTCGATTGCTCCGGCTTCCTCACACCATCCAAAGACATGCGGTTAATTGGTGACCCTAAAATTGTCCTTAGGTGTGAGTGTGAGTGGTTTATGGTCTATGTGTGGCCCTGCAATGGACTGGCAACAGTGCTTCCGAACTTGCCTGAGAATCCTCTGTTTTTTAAGATTTTTTCAGTATCAAAGTAATTCATGATAGTTGTCTGTACATCCAGTGGTACACAGCAAAAATTAACTGTTATTATTTAAAACGGTGAACTGTATATGAATGAATGATACAAAATTGAAATGATGGGCTAATTCGGTAATTATTTAAATGGCACACCATAGTGGGCACATTTGGAGCAAAGTTCGGCATTAAAACACGGTTCTGACGAGCACTTATTGGCAAATAAAGGGGTCCAAGTTGGTGCCTTGTATCCTAGAGTCTACAACATACACAAAACTTTGTGGGTGTTGTGGGCAGAATATTGTGTTACCACTTGTATTCTACTCTTCCTCTGGCTCAGCAGACATTAAATATCAAAATCAATATTTTTCCGAGATAGATAAACATTTTGAAACCAAATGATAAACGAATGAACAATACATGGATTTATCTGGTTTCTTCAACTTTCACTCAGGAGCAAAAATCCGCCTTTAAATTGGAAAGAAATAATGATTTGACATTTATAGTGATAATTATCAATATCAAATTACATGATTTATTTATTTTTTTTTACATTTTGGCCGTATTGGCCCCTAAATTTTTTTAGAATATGCAACCTTTAAATTATTAATTTTGCTGTGTAGGGTGTTATTGCAAGAATTGTAACACTATGTGGACAGTGTGGACAGGAATAGAAATACATACATGCAAACTCAGATGGGAAGAAAAAGGTGACACGTTTGCCCCTGTAAATGAAGCATTCTGTTGTACTCTGAGAAGAAAATAAAAGGCATTTTCAACTGTTCCTCAGTGTTATCGTGTCTGGTTTCAGCTTCATAGATATAATGGCTGCAATATTGAGTTTACTTAAATTACTATTCAGTGATTCCACTAGGATGGTGTTGTAGCACCAGAGGTTAAGAACACTTGTTTTTTCTGTCGCTTGCAAAGTGCGCCTGCTTCATATCTGGATATATAATACCAAAACAACATGTATGTATGCAAACAAATTTTGCTGGTGAGTTTGGAGTTCCTCTACCAAGAAAATGTTATGTATTCCAATAAATAAACATGCAGTTCCACATAATTTTACCACATTTGAATAAGTCTTGAGCGGATTTTGAATAAACTACACCCTAAAAACAAAACTTGCAAAAGAAATCTACTGGGTAAGAACTATAACTATTAAATTGGGGAAAAGTCACTTTGTTAGTTTTGATGTTGTCCAAAATGACTTTACACTCATGGCACAGCATCCAAGCTGTTTTATAGCCTCACCACCTAAACCTTATAATGGCAGGGGAAATCCTGTTAATATGACCTCAGAATCATTACAGATAGGATTGTTCACTTGCCTTTTGTGTCTTAATTTACGGCTTTTCACATTTGTAGAAATTAACATAAAAAACTGGGAACCACCTACCAACATGCGAACCACCTACCTTCTGTATAATCACCAAGCATTTCATTTGTACATTAAAATCCAAAAGAATTGTCCACTCATTAGAAAAGGGTCCAGCTGCGCACTGTAGCTCAGGAGGCGTGGCGTGAGCTAGTTGTATAATTATTTTTGGTTTTCTATTTGTCTGACTAGTCCCTGATTTGCTTTACTAACCTCCATGGTCACCACCATCATTTCTTTTATATTTAACTATCAAGATATATAGTGCCGTGCTGAAAATCATTAACGATCTTGTGACATTCATTCATTAAGCACCAACTCACCCCCCCCCCAAAAAAATATTTGGATCTCCACGATTCACGCGAATGACATATTTTTAGACATAATGGCGATTTTCGCCTAAAAGCAACTAGTTTGCATGAATGGAAATAGGAGCACTATGATCCTTCCACAAGGGGGAGTCAGTGGCAGAGGAGAGTGCATGGCTGTTTTCAATGGGCAGAGAAGAGAGAGAAATAGAATAAGGGGAGAAAGGTGATGTAAATAGTCAATCACGTGAGAAGGACAGAACACTGTGGTGCAGGTTAGCTGCCATGTAGTATTTGCTATTTTCTCTTACCAATTATCAAAGCTATCAGTTAAAAATAAG